AAAGTATGATGAACAAAATATAACAAAAACATCCATTAAATTTTTCAACCCAACCTGCTTCAACGATTTCCTGAGAACACAAGTTTTTAGAAATTGTTTTGTATAACTTTGTAATCCCAAGAAAATCCTGCATTTTCTTAAAATAGTTTAGTATGTTTGTGTTCGATCTTATATTAATGCATGTGTGTTTTTGTTTAGTAGATTCCCAAAGGTAAGCAAAGAGAATGTAAAAAGGAATGTCCCCAAACAACCTTATGTTGCCTATAAAAGAGAATGATGTCGTACCAACCCCTGAGGTTGAGTACCAGTGTGAGTATGTTCCCTAGTAATCCAAATAAAAAAGAATGGTCTCCCGTAAATTTCATACTGATAATTCCTCTAAGTCAGCCGTCATAACCATACTAATTAATGACAATTTCTCTTATCTTGGTGTCTTTGGGATGCCGATAGAATATAGAATAAGGTTGTCGTCACCCTAGACTGATGTAGTCTAACTGTAGCGAACAACTCAAGTGTGGGGTGCTATCCCCGTATAGATCTATACATAAACCCCCGCTCTCCCTCCAAAAAACTCTGGTTATAACTACAGACTACGATCATACATTCAATAGGTGTCAACCAAAAAGTCTCACTAGATTCTTAATTGAATTTTACGTGAAGAGAAACATATAAAACTCATTCCTGACCCAATGAACCATGTCTAGGGACCACTGAGTCTCACTAAACACAGAAGTCATTTTTTGGCCCGAAAGAAATGAGATTATATAACATGGGTCCAAAATATATGTGAAAGGGCAACTAAGGTCCATTTCACATGTAAGATATTTATAGGCCCAAATAGCACGCAAATCGAATCCAAGGTTCGTCGCGCATGTAAATGTGTCAGTGAGACCCAATAAACAAATAAATAGTATTTAGGAACTATCAAACATATTAATGGGCCACTAAGGCCTAATATTATACGAATAGCAAAATTAATCTGTTTGTTATTGTATTGCTAGTATTTGTTCAATTGTCTGTCAAGTTGACTTAAAAATACCACTTTTGTAATCTATATATATATATATATATATATATATATATATATATATATAATATATATATATATCAAATACACATAAGGTAACATGTCTAGATGATTTAAAATCATGTATAAGTCATATAAACTTTCATATAACAAAAGTATAATCACTTTTAGTAAGTCAACCATTTTTTGATTTTTGGCCTTTCTATCCCTGTTTTTGGAAAAATTATAAAAAATCATCGTAAGTCGAAATTTGTATCTGTCAACTCTAAAAGTTTATAAAATGAGTCTACTTTCTTCATAATTTTTATTATAATTTTTAGTGATCTCAAACCAGTGTGAAAATGTTCATATTCACATATTGGTCCGAAATCCCTCCTGAAATGATAGGAAGTTTTGTAAAAATCGTCAAAAATTGTAGAAAAATCGTATAAATGCGTGAGAGTATCCATTTTAAAGGTATAAACCTGAAATTTTTTCATGTAAAACAGTTTTGAAAAATATTACCATCAAGTTGGTCAAACAATCCGTAACTACACCAAAACTATTTTGTTAAAAGCTGATTTTTGAGTTTAGGTTATAGATCTTTGAGCACAACACTTGTTTTTGCTATTTTGAGTGTATAAATCTCAGATTTGCAAGTTTACATGACAATATATACTTTTCTCATATTTTTTATGAACATCTAGGTGATAAACTTCATATTTTTAACATATTTTTAGATTTATGAAGTAAACAACATATAATCACCAATTAAATCATAAAAACACATATAGTCATGCATATACACATAGATCTACACAAAACAACTAATATTCTCCCCAAAACTTAGTAAAAACCGAAAATAGGGGGTATGAACTCACCTTGCTTTGATGTTTTCGGTTCTTGGTGATAAATTGAGTAGATCTCGGCCTTAGGAAGCTTCTTGAGAAGGATTTTCGGATTTAGATGGGTCACAATAGATGAGTTCTTGATGAAGTTCTCTTGAAAAACCCACACTAACTCATGAAATTTTGAAGAGGAAGGAGGTGAGAAACTTTTGAGAGTTAGAGAGAATTTTGGAGATTGAAAGGGATAAAGTGGGGAGGGGTGTGGCATCTCTTGGCCATAAGAAAAAAAGTGGGAGGAGAGAGATTAAACATTATTGCATGGAGGATAATAGCTCTAGAAGTATGTGATTACCTTGAAACATGTGGATTAATTATGTGTTGTCAAGTTATTAGTAAATCTCATTTTCTCTCTTTTTTTTTTTTTTTTTTTTTTTAATTTGGGTCGAGAATGGGCTAGGAGGAAAGGAAGTGAGATAGTTTGGGCCATTCTTTGACTTAGCTCGAAATCATGAGGCCCAAAATGAGTATTTTTTGGCCCATTGGGCCTTTATGGAAGTTCACAGCCCCATGAAACCCAAGGGAGTAGTTTACGGCCCAATAGGGTCCATGAATTCAAGTGAAATATTTTAGGCCCAATAAGGCCCATAAAAAGTCTTATGGCCCAATATATTATAGTTTAATGAATGTAGGTCTAAATTTGGGCACAATTAACGACTCTTTGCTTAAAATAATCAAGTTGAGGGTTTATTGGCCCATTAGGCCTAATAAATGATTCCTAGCCCAATAGGGGCTTGAGCTGGGAAATTAGGGTTTCTACACACAGTTAAGTATATGAGAGGTGTTGAATTAGGTTTTGGACTTCACTCATGAGTTTTGATTCAAGTGGTTGATTTTGAATGAGCATAGTACTTGACTTATCTTAGATTACAAGTTATACAAGAATTGATCTTTACATGAAGACAGAATTTCCTAGCTAAAAATGCTAGTTGTGACATCATCCCCCCGTTATAGGGAATTTTGTCTCGAAATTCTTTTGAAAAATAGAACTATAGGTGGGGGTACTTTAGCTTCATCTAGTCCTCGCGTTCCCATGTGAATTCCGGTTCACGCTTAGCATTCCATCGAACCTTTACAATCGGTATGTGAATATGTTTCCTATGCTTCACTTCCCTGTCCATTACCTCAACTGGTTCCTTAACAAACAAGAGATTCTCGATTTATTTCGATTTCATCCATAGGAATGACAAGGGTTTCATCTGATAAGCACTTTTTCAAATTCGAGGCTTGGAATACTGGTGTACGTTGCTGAGCTCCCCAGATAGCTGCATCTTTGCCACTGGACCAATTCGGGTAAGAATCTCGAATGGTCCGATGTGTCACGGATTTAGTTTTCCCTGTTTCCCAAAACGGATCATCCCTTTCCAGAGAGAGACCTTTAACAGCACCTGATCTCCGACGTGGATTTCCAGAGGCTTCCGTCATTTGTCAGCATAGCTCTTTCGTCGGTCACATGATGCTTGGATTCGTGATTTAATTTGGATTATATTCTCTGTCGTTTCCCAAATGATATCTGGTCCGGTAAGAGTGCTGCTTGGTTCTTTCCCTTTTTCCAGTTGGGTGTCACCCACCTCATCCCAGCAGAGAGGTAATCTGCATTTGCGACCATAGAAGGCCTCAAAAGGAGCAACCCTTATGCTCATGTGATAGTTGTTGTTGTACGAGAATTCATTTAGGGACGAATGGGTACCCCATGATTTGTCAACATCGATCACACAGACTCGGAGCATGTCTTCTAGTGTTTGAATGGTCTGCTAACTTTGGTCATCAGTTTGGAGGTGGTAGGCAGTGCTAATGTCTAGTTGTATTCCTATAGTTTTCCGGAGCGACTGTCAAAATCTTGAAGTAAATCTGTTATCCCGATCCAAGATAATAGATACTGGTGCCCCATGAAGTCTCACGATCTCTTATATAGGTTCGAGTTTTGTAGAGGTATACAGTGGTTAACCGGTCAAGTGATCGGAATTGTAACAAATTGGAAAATACAGTGTTGAAATTGACATAGAAAACACAATGTTAAAATCGAATTTCTGTGTAAAAAGAGTGTTTTTTGTGCTATTTACCCAATAAAACACTCTGTGATTTTCTTTAAGGGTTGAATGTGATTTAATTTTGACTTATTTCCAAAAATTACCAAAAAGTACACGCACTTTCTATATAATATGCATGTTGTTGCCGCAAATATATTTAATATACTTCTTACATGATTAGAAAGTAATAAACTAGTAATTATTTTGAGCATTCTTTATGGTTTAAGGGGGATAAATATGATTTGATTTTGACTTATTCACTAAAATTATCAAATAATGCACATTTTTCTTAAGGTTTGGATATGATTTAATTGTGACTTGGTCATTAAAATTACCAAAGAATACACACTTATGATATAATATGCATGTTTTTGAAAATATATTTAATATGCTTCCTGAAATGATTAAAAAATTATACTCTAATAATTATTTTGAACTTTAGTCGAATATGATTAATTTTGACTTATTCAGTACTAATATACCAAATAATATATATTTTCGATTTTTGAAGGGGTTGAATATGATTTACTTTTGACTTATTCACTGAAATTACCAAATAATACACATTTTCGATATAATATGCATGTTGTTGCAAATGTATTTAATATACTTCCTAAAATTATCAAAAAGTTATAAACTAACAATTATTTTAAGCATTTTTAAAGGATTGAATATTATTTAGTTTGAACTTATTCCCAAAAATTACCTAATAATATACATTTTTTTTAAACAGCTAAATATGATTTAATTTTTACTTATTCATTAAAATTACTTTTAATTGTGAAAAAAATTAGTGACGTCTTGAGAAAAAATGGTGACGTGAGATAGTGGAGTTTGACTTTAAATTTTGCATGACTGGAACTCACGGGCAAAAAAGGAAATCAAGACAAGTAGACAACTCATCAATTACGCTTTATGAACTTGTACTCTGACACTGAGCTGTACAATCTCTATCTGCCTCAGAGACTCACGAGTCTCCCCTTGTTTTCACCATTTCTTTCCCTCAAACCCCACCTATAAAAACCACATTTCAACCAAAACCAAACACAATACACAAAAATGTCAAGTATTACAACTACAACTACTACCATTGCTATCTTTCACATAATTTCCATCTACCTTTTTATTTCATCACCCCAACTCGTAGCAGGTGCAGGTCGTGGACATGGACATGGACATGGACAGGTTAATGTTAATGTTAATGTCGCTTCTGTTGCCATCAAAACGATGTCGTTAGAGCCAAAAGATCAAGATTTTGTGACACAGAAACGACCAATTTTTCATGGAAAAGAAATTAGTGGTTGTATGCCAAAGGGGCGTAGGCATTCATCGGCTCCTAGCAGATATGTTAACAACCAACCGTTGTTTCAATCGCTTGGATGTTCAACGGTGGCAAGACCTTGAGTTGTGTATTTGTAGGTGTTATATATATAAATGAGTATATGTTTGATGAGTATTGATATAGGCGAGAGTTCTAGGTTTATATACGTGTTATATTCTTTATATATTTTGCATAATTATTGTTTTAATTTAATTTTTTATTTAATTAATAAAATGTAATTAATGTTGAGCTTTCAAGCAAGCATATAAGATTGCTTTTGTATGATGATTTGCTATTTTGATAATGGGAACAAGTGATCCTTGCAAACCGGGCTAGCTCGAGCATGTTACCTTTGACCATGCAAGGGAAAAAGTTGTCTCCATAGGGTAATAAACAACCATATACGTACGAGATCATGTGTTTCATGAAATCCTCATAAGATATTTCTTTTTAGTTTTTTTTTTAATATATAAAATCAATCTAAAGCCTTTTGTTTGAATTATACACTTGATAATAAAATCATTGCAGATAATGTCTAATTAGACTTAGAAAACGTGTCATGTCATGTGTATTGGATTTAAATATTAAATGAATTGAAAATGTTTGATCCTAACCTTCTAGTTACTTGTTTAATTTTTGTGTTGTGTTATGTAATCCGGTTTTTTTGTTCGGAGTTAGCTTGTTTAGGGTTTTAATTAGACCCTATAAAAATAATGTGTCATATGGAATTGAAACAATGAACATAAAGAATAGGATTGACAAGGCGGAGACCGGGCAAAATTCTAACAAATGTGGGATTTCACATAGAGATTCAATAAATATGAAGTTTAATAACTGCTGAATTCTTTAACAGGAAATGGAACTTGTTAATACTTAAATAAATGTCATAAATTAGGTTTTGTAATAAATGATTTTTTTATAAAAAAATGTTCACTTTGAACTTTTTTTTGAAGAAAATAATAAATCCGTATCCATATAAAAAATACAATAATGATCAAAATAAAATAATGATGTGGTAATCAATTAAATTCTATAAAATTTAATATATTATTTTAATTACCTTAATTTGAATCTTAACACTTGTATATATACTAATAAAAAGATTTGAGATCATTTCCTTAACGAGATCCTAGTAAGATAATATATTTAGCTTTTTTCAATAGAACAATCTAAATGTTTTGAATTTGAATCTTCCACTTGTGTATTAAAAAATCATCAGCGATCATTTCTTTAGTGAAGATTTTTTTGTTTTATTACAACAAAATCTATACAGATAGCCAGCTTAAATCCTACACTTTTATATAAATAAGCTCATTGAAGATCATGCCTAAATGAAATCCTGTTACTTAAGCCCTTTTTAGTAGAATAGTATAAAACTCTTGAGTTTAAACCTTACATTTGTATACTAATAAATTCATCTTTCCTATAATTAAGATACCAACTTTTTCTACAAATGGTTTCTACTTATTATACTATACTAATAGACTAATCCAAGATCATATCTTTAATAATAATCATGTAAGAAGTAGCATCTCCGACTCTTTTTATCAAAACAATTTGTAGGCCTTAAATATAATTTTATTTTTGTACATATATTAATATACTCGTTTGAATATATCTCTATATAGTGGGCTATTTTTTTTTTTTTTCAAAAAATCAACTACGTTCATCATGGATCGATCAGATTGTTCTATTTGAAATTTGGGCCAACAATGAGCGTAGCATGACTGTATTAAATATTCACTGATCAGCAGCAGCCTTCTGCAGCTGTTCAGAACCGTAGTAACTACACCTTCGAGCACCTCTATGATCCGCAAGATCTACAAATTAAAAACATACACAGATTTGTTCAGATGTGTGGAATATGTTAATATGATCCACATGATTCATGAAACCCACTTTATGACTATACCTGCATTTAACCTGAATATATATTTAACTAAAACCATTAAAAAACAAGATACCATATAACTTCAAACAAACCATGTCCTACTGTTGCCCAACATGTGAACCATTAATAACATATATATTCTAAAGAGATGGAATATTTATGAAAATGTTTGCTATATATATAAGTCAATTGTCGTCAGCTTTACTTCACATTTTAAGCTGCAAAATGATCAGATGTAGCAGCGTCGATCGGCTACTTAGATACTGATTTGGGAGCTGATTTCAGACCAGAATCATAGACACTGGGGCGATATATATAGGCTACGTAATATTAACATAGAGTTACTAGATTAGTCGAGTATATGTTGTCTCAATTTTCAAGCTTTAACTGTTGAAATTTCATTGCATATTGAAATCTTATTAACCATTATTGTCACTATAACCATTATTGTCACTATAATATCTACACTATAATATCTATATAAAGAGAAGTTTTTCAAAATTAAAGGTATATAATTTTACTTAAACTCATAGACGTCACAAGAAATGTTGAATTTCTTGTCTACTTTATGCATGGATTAATATATATTAGACAAGAATGATATTGATACTATTTTTTTAGAACCATAAAGAAATCAGTTTTTTTGGATTCGAATTCTCGATCAACCAGATAGAAGACACACGATATAAACAGTATACCAATGTTTTTTTTTTTTTTTTTTTTTTTTATATTACTAATGATTTCATATCTAAAAATTCTATAATTATTTGTCTTTTAGATTAGTAGATTTTTATAAATTATTTGACTATCATTATTTATTTATAGGCTTTTTTTTTTTCCTTTTTCTAGGCCCAAAATATATTTAGACCACTACCCTCTAATTAACACAAAAACTTGGTATTTCAAATGGATGCCAGCTTTCGTGATGGTACTTCATGCACCCATCAAAGATGAGCATGCACCTTTACAGAAATAGAGCATCCAACTTTTTTGAAAAAACATTATAAATGTATGGTGGTTATTCAAAATATGAAGTTTAATCTCTATGATTTAAAAACTTCATATATGGTCCCTGTGTTCTTAAATTTTTTTATGATTGATCATTATTGCTAACCCCGTTAACTTTTATCCGTTAATTGAGGGATATTTTCGTCATTTCACACAACAAAAACCATTTATGATATTTTCAGCTATTTTTTTAAAAAAAGAAAAAAACTAAATATAATTAAGTAATATATAAAATCTCTCTCTCTCTCTCTCTCTCTCTCTCTCTCTCTCTCTCTCAAATTTGGTTACGTCTGCACAAGAAAAAATCACCTCAAAAATAAGATCTCTCTCTCAAATTTGGTTACGTTTCCACTGCCAGTTCCTACTCGTCGAGTCCCCTATGCCGACTCGACAAGTCACTCATTAAATGACATGTTCTGGCTCGTTGCTACTCGACGAGTCACAGCGTCAACTCGTCGAGTAGATATTAAAAAATGAAATCTAAAAGGAATAATAATGATACCTGACGGTTGGGATGTTACACTAGATCAGTATTTCGAGTTCGAGATTATCCGAGTTGTCTGGGGTGAGTCTTCTCACTATACATTACCTAGAGTGGTATCTATGTGCAGATCGGAGGGTCTTATGTGTTATGTGTATGTTTGAGATTATGTGCGTTGTGCTATGAGTATGCTATGTGTTATATAGACCGGACCAGAGGGTCCAACGATTTAGATCGGACCAGAGGGTCCAACGAGCTAGACCGGGTCGGAGGATCCAACGAGCCACGGGACTAGAGGGTCCCGTTGAGACACACTGATCGGAGGGTCATACCGAATTATAGCCTCGAGTGGCATATGTGTGCAGTATGTGGTATTTTTGAAAACTCACTAAGCATTTATGATTACCGTGTTATTGATATATGTTTCAGGTACTAGTGATGATCGCGGGAAGGCGCTGACATAATCTGTACACACTGATGGAGAATTATGTATTTGAGATTCTGGGATATGTTTATTTGAGATAACATTTGATACATTTGAGTTTTGTGATGATTTATGTGAGATATGTTTTGTTTTAAAAATGAAAAATTGTTTTAAATTTTCAGGTCGTTACAATAGGAAGGTATTAATGAGCCCCACAATATATAAATTACTTTTGACTTAATTCATACCAAACATAATTCATTAATACATGCAAAGAGTCCAAAATATCACTTTTCCCATTTTATCCCTTGGTTCTAATTTATAATTTAAGAATCACTTAAACAACATTGTCAACATCTAATAAGGTCTAAACTTTATTTCCTTGAAGCCCAAGACATTTACTTGATCAAATTATAGCTTGCTATCCAAAAATTAGAAACATCTCGAAACTGGATGTTACATATTTCTACTTCATGAGAGGATTCGTTGTAATCAACTATTTTTTGGAGCATGTGTGTCATCCTTAGCAATATATGGAAACACATTTTCAAAGAACGGTGCGTTTCTTGATCCCATTATTATGCCTTTGTGAATTTCTGGTATTTTTGAGGTATGCAAAAGAAACCAATGAGCACTATTATTTTATGCATATCCAATAAATATGTAATAAGTAGTCTTAGGTCCTATCTTAACCACCTTAGGTGCAGGTACCATGACCATTGCAAGACACCCTCACACTCAATAGTATTTGTAAGATGTTTTTATACCCGGCCATAACTCGTATTGTGTTTTATCCGACTTCTTTTGTGGCGCCTTATTTAAAAGGTAGTTAGCTGACAATACAGCTTCCACCACATTGAGAGTGGAAACCCAGAACTTAACAACATAATATTCATCATTTCCTTTAAGGTACCGTGTTTCCTTTATGCGGTGTCATTTTGTTGTGGTGAATAAGGTGCAATAATCTCATGTAGTATACCATGATTTGCATAAAATTCCTCAAATGGTGATAACTTCACCTTTATACACTTTAAACTTCTCTATAGTCTCATTTTAACTTTTAAGTAAATAGACATAACAGGATTTAGTGCAATCATTAGTAAAAGTGATAAAGTGCTAATTACCACCCTGAGATGGATTTGACTTCATGTCAACACACCTGTGTGAATTAATTAAAGTGGCTCAGTTGTCCTTTGAATGGACTTGAATGAAACTTTGATTCAACACAAGCGTTGCATTTGTATTTTGAGTCAACATGAAAGTTTGGTATGTGATTGAG